ATGCTGCTATATATATATATATGTCCGCGTGGATCATGTCGAGAGCCACAACTAGATAGTGAAAAAATTTGGTTAATATAATTGTTTAAAACTAACTAAGGTGTTAGGATTGGAGGAGGGGTTGAATAATTAGATTGTTTACAGACAATTGTGCTGTGCATTCAGCATGGTTACTATCAAAATTTGTGTATAAGATAATTTTGAAAGCTAAACAAGCTGGTCGTCAATGACTGCTGGTATGGTACGAGTTATGTCTTTCTCTGGAAACTATTTTAATTTGATTTGATTTTTTTTTTGTTTAACAGCATAAATATAAACTTTATTCGAAATGCTTATTATATTTAGTCAGGGCTGAGTTATTTAATCATTACAGAATTGCAAATATTTTAAGAGATAATTGATTGTTGAAATGTTAGTTGAATAGTTCCAAAGAAATCACCAAATATTTAGTTAATATATTTACCACTCTTCAAATATACCGCAATTTTATGATTGTTTGGTATTTTAAAATGATATTTTGATAAACTGTTTTAAAAATCACGTTTGTAATTGATTTAAATTTGTAGCTGTTAGAACAAAACTCGTTTTTGCCTTATCGGTTTCTTACTGTTATTCGCGTCTTTTTATTTTGCATTTTTATTTGTAATGTTATAGAATATTAACGATAAACCTTAATTGCTAAGAGTTATTGCACAATTTTTATATAGGACAAGTTAACACAGACATTTCTATGCGAACTTTCTGTAAACAATCTTTAATTTAGCTGCAAATAATTTGGAAAATTTTGAATGGTATTTAAAAAGGCAGAAGCTTTAAACTTCCTAGGCATGGAAAAAAAGAACACCTTTTTTAAAACCTTCAAACATGATCTTTCAAATTGCACCTACATTTTTGTAGGTAAAATCTTCAAAAAATTTTTGCTTTTAAAAGAAGTAATATTTTCAGCATAGAGCTAGTACAGAAGTTTTCACATTATTTTGTCCTGTACATGTACTACTTCATACAAATATACTTTGTTTGCCGAAATATTGATTTATTGACGCATTTAATAGCAAAAATAATTTAATTATGTTCCGTACAGACAACCCTGAAAATAAAACAAGGCTGAAGATAGTAAAGCAAGTTGCAAGAAAGTTTTAAGGAAAATTTTGGAACGAAAGAAAAAACACACATTTAGTTATTAAAGATTCCACACTTAAAAAAAAAACTAAAAAAAAAAAAAAAAAAAAAAAAACATATTACTTTAGGATATGATATTTTGTGAAATCCTATTAAACTTGTTTTTTGCTAGTTTCCAATTCATTTTTCATAGATTTAAACTCATTTTTGACTTGCCCTTTTTTCATTGTTTTCTAAGCCGTTTTTTTTCTTCAAATTAATTGGAATATTAACAAAAAAAAATTAGTAAAAGAGTCAAAGCCCTAGAATTTATTTTCAATTAATTAATATGATTTTTTTAAAATTTATAAATCTACAAAACTTTTAAAGAAAGTTTAAAAAAAAACATATTTTATTTGAATTTTGGTTAAATTTTAATTTTTTTTTGTAATTAATTTTTGAAGAAACCAAAATAAAAGCTTTAAGGTTGATTAAGTTTAGAATAATTTAGGAATTTTTTCCTTAAAATCGGTAAAACAAGTAAATGAACTCAAAGGGTATCAAAGCAAATGTTTTCGCAAATCGATTAGTAATATTTTAATCGAATAAAAGTAATAACACAATAAATAACAAGGTTAATTCAATACTTCTTAGATACGTGAATAATTTTAAAACAAAATAAAACAATTCCTTTTTCTCCGAAAATAGAGTACTCTACAATTAATCAATGACATTGTGGAATCTATTTAAGGTAAATAAAAGGAAGAAGAGTAAATAATGATTTTTATAGAATTATCAGCTAAGTCCGCTAATAATTTCAAATATAGATTTTTTTTTTATTCAAGAAACAGCGAGAACAAAATAAAAATATGGTACAGCAATGGACATACTATAGTTTCGGTTCTCTAAGCAAGAATTTTCCTAGCTGACTAATCACCAAATAACCAATTTAATGCTGCGTTATTACTAACTAAAACAGTCAGAAAAGCTGCATTTCTTTGTAGTTAACTACAACTAGAATTAGTTTAATACAAGAGTAGCTAATTAAAACAACAACTAATTTAATACAAATGTAGCTAATAATTACACTATTCGTAATTCAAATGACAAGTATCGGCTCTCTAAACAAGAACCTCCTTTGTCTAAATACCAAAAAACCAATTTAATACTATGTTATTTCGTGTTTAGACACAAAGGAAAGTTCTTATTTAGAGAACCGAAACTATAGTATGTCCATTCCTGGACCTTTTTTATACTTTCATTCACATCGTTTCTAACTTTATTCTACGTAGTTCAAAGAATATCCTATCCTTCTTTTATTTAATTTTTTTTTATTAATAAGTATTTCATTTTTCTTTAAATTTAGGGCAAAAAAATAAGATGTTATGGAAGATTATATTTTATGTATTTCAATGTTGGTTGAATAATCAAAACAATATACATTTCATTTAGTTGTATTTCATCCACGACGAATGGATATCTAAAATAATTATCTTTGCTGTGTCGCGTTAACTTTGCAATCAGTTTTCCTTTAAAATTATCAGTTTTATGCTTCCTGAAAATTTTCCCCTTTATGGTATTCTTATCTTTTATCCGTATTTCATGGAAGATTGAAACCCAAATTGCTGTTTTAGTTAGCCATTTATGCAAAATTGACCATTCTTTGACTGTACCACTGATAGTTAAGTCATCCATCTCTATCACGAGATTCGTGCTCATTCGTTTATTTATTTATTTTTCTTCTTGAAAAAAATAAATACAAAAATGTAATCACTTAGTTTTCCTTATCATTGCCTCAAAACAAAATTAGTTATAAGAAAAAAAAAGGAATCAAATGAATAAAAGATATTTAAGATTTATTGATTATTTTTAATTTCGGTCTCGCATTCGGTGATACAAATTACTTTTAGAATATATTCTATTAAAATCAATGAATGAATTTTAAATCTTATAATCTTGATGAATGAATAAGCAATGATTATTTGTAAGATAACGATAGTTATGAAAATTATATCACTGTATAAGTTGAATTAACTTCAACAATTTTTTTTAGAAATTCAAACGTTTGAAACTAGTACTGAATATCTATTTGGGTTCTGAGAAAAAAAAAGAGTCATAATTTTAAAAAAAAAATTGAAATTTAGGCGTTTCATATTTAGAAAATTATGTATTGTCATTCAAAATCAATTTGAACTCTGTCATTCGAAAAAATTGTGACATGGTGACATATTAATTGATTCAATCATATTTTTTTCTAATTTATGAATATTGTTTATATTTTCAGTATAAAAGATAAACGACATAATTATCGAAACCGATAAGCACGCTTTTTTTTCTTTTTTTCTTTTTCTTTTACTTCAATGAAAGTCACGAATAGTTCTTACAATTAAAACTATATTCTAATGTAAAAAAGAACTTTTAATATTAATGTTTAATTTAGGAAAAAAAAGAAGAGAAATGAAATTTTTTTGGAGGGATTTTTTTCGTTTTCCGACATTTTATAAAATGAATTGAAAAACTATGATAGTTTGTTTAAATAAAATATTGCTTTGAACATTGTAGAGTAACTAACTCTTAATAAGTAAATTAAGAATACGTTACAGAAAGTAGAAAATAATAAACAGTTGCTGATTAGCATTGTTAAAATATTATTAAGCATGATTGTTAAATTGCATAAGTTGAAATTTTGGTAAATATTTTTTTTCGAATTTCCACGACTTACTTATATTTTACTTAAAACACACATTTTTTTGAGAACTTGTTTAATTAGAATATAAATATTGTTTAACTCTTTGAATAAACTGAAGAAATTTTGACTTTTGCTTACAATGAGCTTTTGAATATAAATACGTGGGACTACAATGTTATACAACTGAAAAAAATGAGCCGTAATTTTTAAACTTTCAAAGCATGTTAGTAGAAAAAAAATTTAGAAAT